GCGCGTGAAGGACGATGTCGTAGTGGGTCCCAAGCCGAGGATTGCGCCACCGTCGCTCGCACTGTCTACGTTAATCTGCTCTCCGTCGCCCTTGGCATGGTTGACCTTGTGCTCGTCTAACACTGGCATTGCAGGTCAGATTTCCTTATTTCCCCTTCCCTCCCACGAAGTTGGCGTCGGCTTTATTTCTTAGGTTTGCAGTATTCGTGCATTTGGTTGTTGAGGTTATTCAGCTATATCAAACAAATGAGTGCAATTAACTAACGACAGGTCTTTCAATCTCCTTAGTTAAAATCAAAATGTAAATCTGAACCACCTCAGCATCGAGATGCTTATCACGACTTCTAACTTACTAGCTTCGAAGTGATGATTGAAGGGCTAGACATGAGTAGCTTGATTGGCAGCACATTGCACTTTGATGCGCGCATTCCGCACAACTTTGGTCTGAAGGTGCTACCCTTGCTGGACAGCTTGAAGGTGATCAAAACCAAGTCTCGAGTGTTAGATGAATGACTGAAGATCGATGTAGCCTATTTCCTTATGAAGGCTAGCGACTCCAACGTCATCCGTCTTGATGAGCACTATGAAAAGTCAAGAATCGGGTTGAGGTCCGTGCGTTGAACTTTTTCAATCAATTGAATCGTCAATACCTCAACAGCTACTGTTTTCTGAATAATTCCGCCAGCCCTTGATCGGGACTTTGAGAAGTTTGAACAGGTTGCGCACCACGTTTAGATCACTCACGCTTCAACGCATTTCGTTTATACTCTGGAGGTGATAGACACCTTTTTTGAGGGAGGGAAAGTCGGAGCGTACGAAGGCGCTGGACAACTGCATGATACTCCGGCTCCGTTCTCGTCGCACAAAACGGGCAGGCACCTGTGGGTTATCTAATTCCACTTAAATCTATTTAAGTAGCTATAATTGCTTATCTGTGCGCCCCTCGTCCTTCCTGCTTGGTAGAGCACAAGGTTTACATATAGCACCTGATGTGCCTGCGACAGGGTATATGTTTAGCAAGGTCGCCTACTTCTCTTACGTGGTGAGCAGATCCGCTGATTACTGCCGTACCTCACCCAGTTCCTCCCAGGGCTGCCCTCTTCTCTGTAAGGTGGCTCTCGGTAAAACTCACGACTGTTTCACTGCCAGTACCTCTCGATGCCTCAGGCAAATTGATGGTTGCAGAGTTCAAGAGGTGTGAGCGCAACTGCACTGAACGTGGCGACGTGCTTCGTGGAGACAATGATCGGCGTTGTTGACCCCATTGATCAGCCAGTGGCGTCTGCAGAGATGGGAAGCAACCTTCTGTGCAATGAGGACATTATTATCATCCGACACCACTCAAATCAACAGTAGCTTTAATTTCCGGAGATCGCGATGAACATGAACAAGATTTTACTCCCTCATGTTGGCATTATTAATACCATTAATATTAAAATTGTCACTTTCAGTCAACGTTGTCTTCACAATTAGTTTTAGCGCATTCTAACTTGTTCAAATACGTTGGAAAGGTGAATTCCCATGTGTCAGTATTCTAGTTTATTCAGGTCGCTACCATGAACGAGAACTGAGGTTTCTCGC